ACTTATAATTCAACAAAAGTTCTTAGTTTCTGTTAGTCTTAACGCCAAACCGTAATTTTTTTTATTATATATAAAAGCTTCTTCCTTTTTTGAGTATTACGAAAAAATGACATTCACTTTTAAAATAATGCCATTATAGTTTATATATATTTAGAATCTGTTTAAAACCACCTACGATTGCGGTTCCACGGCGTAGCGGTTATCATGTCTGCCTTACACGCAGAAGGTCTTCAGTTCGATCCAACGTATTTTTGAAACTAGAAAAGTGAATATTTTTGCAATTATCGAACTTCATTTTCTCTTATACCTTATATAGCGCTTGCGCGGGGCACAAACTGAATCTTAAAATTATAAGCTATTATTACGAAACTTGCTGCCTACGTGACCATCCAAAACTGTAGTAATTGGACGTAAGTAGTCCTCAGCACACACAAAATTATAGGTTAAAGCCTATATGAAAACCTTCTACATATAGTTGTAATTGTAAATATATTAGTTTGAGGAAAAAGAAATCCATTATTTTTTTGGTAGATGGCTGCACTGATAGATTTCTCGCAAACTATCGATCAAACAATTTCAGATTTATGCTCGTTGGAAAGGTGACATTTCGCAGTAAAAAAAAGTTCTTTTGCTGTTTTTTGTTTGGTGCATTCAGTTGTGAGTTAAAGCGTGTTAAAAATGGAAGTGAACAAAGAGAAAATTCGGTACATTTTACAGTTTTTCTTTGACAAAGGCGATAATGCAAGCCAGGCGGCTAAAATTGTGAATGGTGTTTATGGTTCCGATACTGTAACAGCCAATTAGGTGCAATTTTGCTTTCGTAGATTCCGTTCAGGAATTTTTGATGTTAAAGATGCACCTCGCACAGGTAGGCCGGTCGTCGAAAATGTCGATAAAATCGGAGAAATGATCGAAGTTGACCTGCATGTTAGCAGTCGTAACATCGCCCAGGAGCTAAAAATCGACCATAAAACAGTTTTAAACCATTTACACAAAGCTGGATTCAAAAAGAAGCTCGATGTTTGGGTGCCACACCAATTAACAGAAAAAAACATGATGGATCGAATTTCCATCTGCGAAGCCTTGGCCAAACGGAATGAGATAGACCCATTTCTTAAACGGATGGTGACTGGAGATGAGAAATGGATCACATACGATAACCCTGTGCGAAAACGATCCTGGTCAAAGAGCGGTGAAGCACCTCAAACGGCCAGGAAGGTTTTGCTATGCATTTGGTGGGACTGGAAGGGGATTATTTATTATGATTTGCTTCCATATGGCCAAACGGTAAATTCTGATCTCTACTGTCAACAACTGGACCGTTTGAAGATAGCGATTGACCAGAAACGGCCAGAATTGGTCAACAGCAGAGGTGTCGTGTTCCACCAGGACAACGGTAGGCTACACACATCTACAGTGACTCGACAGAAACTTCGGGAGCTTGGTTGGGAAGTTTTAATGCATCCGCCATACAGTCCGGACTTGGCACCAAGCGATTATCATCTTTTTCTTGCATTGCAAAATTTCTTTAATGATAAAAAATTGGAATCTAGGGAGGATTGTGAAAATCGAGTACTAGAGTTTTTTGCAAATAGAGACCAGGACTTCTATGAGAGAGGCATTTTGAAGTTACCTTTAAACAAATCGTACAACGAAACGGTGCATATTTGACCCAAATCGGACAATCCGAAGCATGTTAAATAAAGTCCTGAAGTTCATATAAATATAATGGATTTCTTTTTCCCCAAACTAATAGTTTACCTTTTGCGGCAATACCAACACATAAGAACAACATAGAAGAAGAATACAGAACATAGGGAGAAAATTTGCTAATACTTAGTACAAGATTTATGTGATATTTGAAATCCTATATTTTATATATAACCTGACAGCAGCTTTTAAAACATATTTCAATCATCAAAATTTTGGTATGTCCTTATGTCCTTTTTTTATAGTTTCTTTCAACACGTTTGCCCTACAAAGATTTATTAAAGTATCGATATGTATAATATCCAAAACGAAACTGCAGAAGATCCCACAGTTTATCATACCAATCTATAGAGAAAACAATTAAAACTTCCTATATGTCCAACTGCGTTCGGTTTACAAGCCGAACTCTCCAGATAATTTGATGAATTTTGATACATTGACTTGTTTTACCTCAGGAACGATCTCTATTGAAAATGGATTGGGTTGAGCCAACTTTACGAGCACGTCTCACACTTAATGCTGTATTTTTAAAAAATAGTTTCTCTACCTAATCTAAGGTAGCTGACGGTAGCTATCTATTCGCCAACTGTTACCACTTCTCACTAAATCCCTGATTAACATTTGACTGACTCGTAGCCATAATTCTGATCAGCAATTGCAAAACAGAAAATCTTTTTTTGGGTCTACTACATATACACCGAAAGAGGCATACACAATACACGTGCCAGCAGACGCAAGTTCCAAGTAATTACTCCCACGAACAACATCAAATAGCTATCGGAAATTTAAATTTGAACCAAACGCTGGTAGGCTCGTGTAACAAACCAATATATTATTATTGTTTACTTTTATAATTGCTTGCTAACTCATCCGGATCTTTATACGATCTTTTCGTCTAACCCAAATCCTACTAATATATATTTAAAGTTGGAAATTTCGAAACAAATAATAGATCTAAAGACGATGTCAAACGCGAAAGTTGACAATTGCGTATGTATGAGAAACAATCCCTGGTAGTGGGAAATAATCACGTATGTATGAGAAATAATCCCTGGTAGTTTTGCCGAACTGAACTGAAAGTGAGAAAAGTTGAGAAATTTTTTTCTAACTTCTGGCACGCATAGCCATGGGTATTTAAAGGGTCAAAAAATTTTTGTTATGAATATTTCACTTTAAGGATCTAAACATAATGAGAACTCAGGCGCAAGACTTTAATAAAAAATTTTAAATGACGAATTAACGAATTATATTTTTTTCTTTCATAGAACTTCTCTTCTTCACAGCGTCTGATCTTTTAGATATTCACCTTCGATCGTACTTCTTCCGCTTACTTGACTTGGCAAATACTTAAGCCATCTACTTTTTGAGAGAAAACATATAAAGGACACACTTGCACCCTTATGACCTGCTATCGTTTCGAACTAATTTCTCTTCGAATTAAATGCTTAGTGTTTACTTATTAGAAAACAGTTTTAAAAGAAAAACCAAACGAAATTTGGAAAAAAAATTTTTACGTACGAACACAAACCGAACAAAAAAGTTTTAATTTATGAAAGGTAATAACATACTCAACTGACTACCATTAGAACTCTGCGTCCTAATGAAAGGAGACGTGTATCATTAATTGTTCCGTGCAGGACCATACTCTGGCGCCATCACATGATGTAATATGCCAACTTCAATTATCGCTCATCTTCAATCTTCTTCTATCGACTTCAATATGATGTAATATTTCAAAAACAGTTTCAAGTAAACGTACACTTCAACAACGTTCCTTAGAAAGCATGCAAAAAATAATCATGTAAAAAATATGTGGAACTTATAGTAAATTTGGTGATATATTCCACAATTTTAAAAAATCGTTTGAGACGAAAAACCTAAATATTTCCCTAAAAGGCAGAAAAAGCAGTGATGAGATGTATATTGCGATAAGAACGATTCAAATTTATTACAAAAAATAAGAAAACAAATTAAGATTAATGTATAGTGAAAATTAGACCTTAAGTACAACACATAAAAATTTAAAAATTTTAAAAATCAATGTCGTACCTATTCGTCGCTGTTTGATAACAAATTTGTTCGTTGTTAACGGCCTTCGTTAGCGTTTTTGTTGTTATAAAGTCAATATGTAGCTTTACAAGGCTCAAGATTACGTTGAAGGTTTAGTGCACGTTCCACGTCAAATTCGGGTGTTTCCGGTGGTAGACCAAGAAAAAAATCGCTGTATGAGAAATAAAGATGATTTCCTTTAAGCTGAACATTTCTCTATGTCATTTTAATTCTCTTTTTATTCTAAAATTTCAGCCAACGGATTAAAATATAAATACAAGGTATGCGGAATCCTTCGACTTCGAGATAGAGCACCGTCGACAAATTAAGGAATATTATTACAACACCCGCATAGAATGTTATGGGTACCTAGTCATATCGTTTTATTGGGAAATGAGCGGGCTGATCGAGCGGCGAAGTGTGCTGCTTCTGCACCTTCAATTATGGATGATGTCATGGATAAGTTGGATCTTCAAAGATACATTGGAAGAAAAGCTAAAGATAAAATTACAGAAGAAAATCTACAATACCACCATCACCACTATTCTTTCATTAACCCTCAATTAACTTCACCTTTATATCCAACAAAACCAAGATCCAAACATTTTCGAAAATTCGCCTTGATCATACCAATGGACCTTGAAGAAGTCCTCCTCCCCAATTTGCAGTTGTGGATAAATTCTCACTATAAAACAATTCTCTGCGACTGCCTTTACTTTTCCTTGGCTAAAAGTATTGCATTTGGAACGATTAACCAAAGAGACATTCTAAAATCAGCTTCAGAACAGAATATCAATTCAATATATCAATATCTAATGTACATTTATATAAAGTTGAACCGATAGCCTGTGCTGCTGGTGCTCGATGTCTTTTTTTTAGTCTAAGAATTTATTTCATTAGTCTAATATTATAATAATAATAATAACAATAATAATAGTAATAATAAAAATACATGAATAGAACAAAAATATTTATCAAACTTTCTCTTCAAAAGAACTTACATTGTCGGATTATATACATTTTTGGATTGAATTACATTAATGAAATGACTAAAATTAAACAAGCACTTACATTTTATGGAATTAGCTTGTAGCTAAGATACTTTGGGCTTCAAATATTGGTACAAATGAACCCGGGCATTAATTATGTATAGCGTCAACCATTTTGTCGAGTTTTTTGCTTTACTGATGCACAATAGATGGGAGACACGCTTCGTCATATCTATCAAATCAGTCGTTAGCTTAATAGCTCACGTTTTACGTTAGTTTTGATGATTAAATGTTGCGTTTACAAGAAAAAGGAAATGTAAATTGAACTAAAAAAAAATTTTAAAATAATTTTTTCTATTTTTGGTCTTGTAATCAACTCTTCTCTATAAAAATGTACATATAAAAATGTGTACATATCATTGCATGTAACATTTTCTCGAAGTTTCGCTGCTTTTGAGTACATTTTAAAGAAAATTGGTGTTAGTGACGGAGAACACAAATACTTTCGGTGATTACTTTGCTTTTATTTTGGAGTTGTTGCGGTCTGGAGGCTGGTCAATGCATGGCGAGGAACGATTTTTATTTTAGTGTTATACACGCACCTTTCCTGTTATTACATCGGTAATGGTACATGAAAAGCTAGAGGTACTTTGAGCCAAATGTAATCAGTAGCATATTATAGGCAACACAGAAACGTGGTTTTACATGTAATTTGGTACTCCTGGTAAGTAACTTGGTGGAGTCCTTTTTTTGTGGTCCTCACGCTTTGCTGTGCAATGAACGATGATTCAAATATTTAATATTTATTGAAGCTGCGTAGATGAAACCCGCATTCCGTCCAATCAACCAGGAATAAAATGATGTTCATTGCAAAGCACGAGTCAAGAAATATGGAAAAATTCGCAAATGCTTGTGCAGCTCTTCATCGCATTCGCCAGCAAAATTTTGAAATTCAGTATTTAAGTTCTGTAGGTCCCGCAATTTATTTTAGCGACGACGTCAACGTTTCTCTGAGGTCTTTCCAACGCTTTCTAAATTCATTGTTGATGTATAAATATATAAAATAAAAATTAAAAGTTATAAAATTCAAAATTTTAGGTTCACATTCCCAAGTTTTAGTAAGAAATAAAAATATGAAAAAAAAATTAAATTTGAATTAATTCGCATCTCCCATACTTTCGAACTCACATAGCCGAATTAAATCGTTTTTTTCTTTGGGTGGCCTTAAGTTGCTGCCATGGTAAGACTGAAGCTCATCTTTAATTTCCCTTAAAAGTTGCACTATTCGCTCTTGATGTCGCATTTTTTTCTTGTTTTCAATTGTTGACCGGCATGCGTGCTAAACAAATCTAAAATATCCAATTTCAGAACCTTTTCAAACCTTTTTGGCCTTCCATCGTGGGATGAATACCTGAAAAGAAATAATTATTTTTATTAATAATTATACAACAATTAATATTAAAAATATAAATTAATATTCTTCTTACTTGGAAAGCCATCCTCGGCGTCATAACTTAATCATATAAACGTCTTGCATAATCTTCTGATGAAGACCTTAAAAGCAATGTAACTCATTAATTTGCATTTTTTCATAGATATTTTTTATTTTTCTAAATAATAATAAGAGAATTTAATGAGTAGAACAATTGAATGAACAAAAGAGTCATCAATATATTTAATTGTAAATCATCTTCGAATAATTAGAATAAGGGAGAAACATATTTACGCACTAAATTTTGAGAAATTCATGGTATAAATAACTGACTGACTTCGGAGTTATAGACTGACTTAAATGAAGTTAAGTAAAACTTTATTTTGATACATCAGCGTCAAATTTTTATATTTACAATTAAACTTGTAACGAGTCTTCTTGGGCAGGGTATATTCAGTCAATCCTCCCTCGCTTCGGGAGAGAATGAAGACACGAACTGACCCCCCGCCTTGGGACAGTATGGAACCATTGCCCATCTAAGAATTCGTGATAGCGGCCTCTACGACTTACTTTTATATGTTTTACCTCTGAGATGTATACCTATTACTTTTTTCCCAGCGGCGAGTGTAGGCCGATGATGCTGTTGCTGTTAGGTGATAATGTGCTGATCGTGACGTCGACGTTACTGCTACTGTAATTGCTGCTGCTTATGATTTACCTGCTTTTCGGCATATGCCGTGTTGAGGCTGTACTGGCTGCTGATGAGTTATCTGCTGTGGGTGATGTGCAGTGTCGAGGCTGCACATGCTGCTGCTAATTTTTATTTATCTTATTTCCTGGGTTAAATATATGCTTTCCACAAGATTTTCCTCATGTTATTTTTTTTTTTACTTGATTTTTTCCTATGGTTTTACGATATATATCCAACGATCTCACCATATTGTTATTTATTTATTTTTATTTTTTGTTTTTTTTTTTTAGATATCAAGATTTATTCATGGTTTGTATTTTCTTTGACATTTTTTTTTACACTACGTTTTTTTGTTTTGCTTTGCTTTGTTTTATTTTTATTTTTTTTTTGTTTTTATTATTTTCATTCCCATTTTCCCTTTTTTTGTTAAATTTTCTTTTCTTTCTACATGTAGATATATGTATATATATTTCGCCGATGTTTTGTTTTTTTGCTTGTTTTTTCCCATTACAAATTTTTTTCCCCTTTTTTTAAATTTTTTGTTTTGGCAATCTCGTAAAAGAGTCAGTTCCCCCAGTTTCTTCAGGTCCTGCACGTTCCTCACTGTATGGTTTACTAACATTTCCTGTGGAATATTTATTTCCAACCAACTTCATAGCTTCACCCTTGGACGGGTGGATTGTTTGCAGATTTGCAAATGAGGGTGCTGCTCAACTGTAGCTTGGGCACCGCTAGGCTTTCTAATCTTCGTTGTCATCAAATTTTGAAAAACTCTGCATCCCTCTTGATGCGTTATGTTTTGGCAATGTCCATTGCTGAGGAATTTCATTTTCTGTTAATTTGGAATCAGCAACGTCGTGAGTAAGACTTCCAACGACCACTTCTTTCTCCTCTTCTTCTGCTTCTTTGTATTGCCTTTGTACAAGTTCCGGACTGTGTTGTACTAGAATCGAATTTCTTTTAAATGGCGAATTCTTACTATCGTTTCTTTGCTTAAATGTTTATTCAACTTAAAACGTCGTACCGCTCCTTTGAGTATCCCTTCACTAGACATATCTGTTTTTAATATCTCATTAGTTTCATTTTGAGAGTTAAATCCGCCGTATCTTTAGGCTCCTCATCCAGTTTGTGCTTTTTATTGCGTGGAGATTGACCTTTGGCCAATGACAGAGCTCTTAAAGCTAACTTTTCTTCTTCTTCGCAAGATGATAATTCTTTTATTTCGACAGTCTTCTGCTCGATTATTGTAGAATTTTTATTAATCTTTGTGTTGCTGTCGTCGTCTTCAGGATTTTCTTGATTTTCTGCTTCCCTCTCTTGATCGCTAAGATTTTCTTGATGAAGAGGTGGTGGCGGAGAAACAATCTCCGGCGGTAGGGGCGCTACTTTCAAACCAGATGCAGTATAGTATAAAAATAACTTCCTTCGGTTTTGTTCTTATGAGTCTATTTATTTATTTAAGAGAATATTGCAATGATCAGCGATTTTAAGAGCGGTAGGAGAAAAAAACCACCATGGTGATCCGACCTTAACGTTTTTATATTTCTTATTTGAACGATTATTATTATATTTACTTTTCCATGTGTCCGTATCGCGAGTTTCTTTAGCTGCTATGATACGACTGAAAACCTAAACGTGGTGTGACACGCTCTTTTATAGTCGCGATCACCATCGCTATCCCGTTACAAAGTTGCTTTGACTTGTATATGCGTTACAACGCTGCTCTTTGATATCTATCCTTACGTGTGCTAACTTAGGTCTGATCGAACATCTTTGCTTGTTTGCCTATCCTTATGTCTTTATTGCTACTGTATGCTTTTATAAACCGTTGAGCATGTCGATATTTTCCTATCGCGATGTTTGTTTGTATGCCTATCTTTGCATTCATTTTACCGCTACTCTGTATGATTCTGTACAACGCTAACTCAGGTACCAAATCGTATGATTTGGTGACCGTTAGATATGTGAATTCATTATTTCTATATTAACCTTCTCAAACCTAGGGACCCGAGAACGCCTTGTCGATATGCATAGGAAACGCTACCGCATATCTACTTAGTATTAATTTATTTATGTGGTAATTACTAAGGGAGCAGAACGCTTCCTTACAAACTTTATAATTAAAATTGAAATGATAGGTATGGAATATACAAAGCAAAACATATAAAGACAGGTACATCTAACATGTTTTCGGTGATATCTCCCGAAAAGGATTTTCTTTGACGTTTCTTGGAAACACTTTAAATTCAGTTAACTTCAACTGAAAACAAAAGTGCCTGAAACTGTGTGATTTCAAACATTGTAGGTTTTCGACGGCGTTTGTGTCCACCTTTGATTTGTAAAAAATTTCATATGTTTTCTTTTCGATTCGCTATTTTGTGTCTACCTTTGTGTCTACATCTATAGTAATGTAATTATATTCTGTTCAGAGCATTAATCTTCTTATGAAAAGAAAAAAAAAATTTCCTAATCACTTTTATCAACTTATGGGACGATAACGAGCAAATCTACAAAAGGGATTTTCACACTTTTTTAGCTGATTTATTTCCCAAAATTAATTGAAACGTGAAGGAAATAATAAAAGGGTTCTCTTTACGCTTTTTTTTTTATTTACGAAAATTTTTCTAATATTTTAGAAAGATGCCCAAAAAATACAACGTCTATATTATACTTCTTCTCTGTTATTAAGCAAATTAACAAACGAAAATTCGCTGGGATGTGTAAAAAAGATTTAGATTAAAAATGAAATCCAAAAAAGGTAGTATTATTACAACTGTGAAAGCCGGCGCATTTCTTCGTCTTGTTCAGCAAATCAACAACAGATGTTTTAATTGAGTTGAGTAAAAGAGGAGGTTATTTATTTCACTTACATGACAATTGCCAATAATTGCGCCAAGACATCATAAAAATACTAAAACTTCCAACTTAAAAACAAGGTTCGGCTAATTCAGCTGCTTCGGAGAGTGTGTGAAATCTGAAGTTTAATATGGTAGGCTCGGTTGTCGGTCGCTACGCTTTATATAGCACTTTATTAATCGTGCTGTCGAAAATTGTTTATCATGGTTATCGAGCGTTAAAAACATGGTGCTTTCATGGATGGTATAATGCGGAAAGACAACTATCTATAGTCATTTTTTGCAGCAGTGGGTCAAATGAATCTTCTAAAAACCATCACAACTGTTCTAAAGTTTCTGACACCAATTCGCAAACAACTAAAATATCAATTGACAAACTACAGATTATGGAGAGAGAATCTGTCTGTTCAAACGCATATTGCATGGCTTCTAATATAGGGCTTTTAGTGGATTTGATAAAAGCGACAGAATGCACCATAGATATAGCTATGAACACTTTCACTTCATTTGAAATGTCGTCGGCTTTATTGGCTGCGTCAAGACGCGGCGTTATAATTCGCATCATAAGCGATCATGAAATGGCTTATTCGACGAGATCGCAGGTTTTCCCATTACAGAAATCCGGTGTAGAAGTACGTCTAAATTCAAATTCAACTTCAGGTACTATGCATCACAAGTTCTGCTTGCTTGACTCGCCGTCAAGAATCAGTTCGTTAAAAACACAAAAAGAGGTTAAAGATATGACCAGCGTAAATGGTATTATGATGACAGGATCCTTAAATTGGACCGCTCAAGGTTTCAGCGGTAATTTCGAAAATGTTCTCTTGACTAATCAAAAAGAAATAATACAAAAATATTCATACGAATTTCAACGCTTGTGGGAATTATTTGCTTCTTCTTAGAAAAAGAAAATAAGCGTATAGGGTTCTACTTTTTTAATATTTTTACTCCGTAAGAATTAAGTTTGCTTTTACTTTGTTCTCCAGTATAATTTGTATAATTTATTAAATCAACAACTAAGTTTATTAATACAAGACAATTAAAAAAAAATAAAACCTATTGGGAAAAAAGTTTTTGGATATTAATTTTTTTTTATGTTCGTTGATTTTTCATATATAATGAACTCGATTTCACTGACTGTCGAGAAGTCCAGTGGGAGGTTCGCTTGCAGCAATTTGAATTCTCACATTTGAACAATTTACATTGAACATTCAAATTGAAGTTTTAAGTCATTTAACATCTCAAAGGTTCTGGCGAAAAAATCAGAAAGAATATTAGAATTTGTACATGTGAAATTAATGAGGTGATCCGCCTACAAATGAGGAAGAAATTATGTCTTAAATTGTAATAGTTGTTGGATCGAAACTTGATACGATGGAGATGGGGATGTTATAAAGTTTATGGGAACTATATACACAACTTCTGAAAGTTTCATCTTGAAGTTTTTCCCTAAAACGATCAGCAGAAATGTCAACAAGTATAGTTTTGAGATGAACATTTTCTGAATTAGGCAGCTTACAAATCTTAAAGTCTGTCGGCTTCCGTACATCCCATAGTAGATGCGGTTTATCTAGGGAGTTTTTATACTCTTCAACATCAACACTATAAATGTTCAATAAGGTTTTGATGTTTAAATTCGCTATTATTTTGAAGTGTTTAGAAGGGTTTAAGACTGTTTAATAGTGTTTAATAAGGTTTTGATGTTGAATTTCGCTATTAATTTGAAATGTTTAAAAATGTTAAAGGCTGCTTAATATTGTTGAATAAGGTTTAATAACATCCAATCTTTCAAATTGTCATTATTCATTGGGATTTCTTTATTGTTTTTGCGCACCCGACCTCTGTATTTTCATATGTACTTACAAAGTACAACAGCTGCAGGAGCACCATATATCCAGGAAATAATCTACACAAAAAACCCACGACAATCGAGGAATCGATAGAATTGCAAAAATCTGATGCGCATTCAAATCAGAGACTTTCACGGAACTCCGTCCGTAGCAAACAATCGAGAAAATCTCCATCTAATGCAGCTTGTTCCTACACTAAGAAAAGTGACCTCAGACGTCAACGTAACGTTAGTAAATATAAAACTTTATTGAAAGTTAAGCTTTATTGAAAATCTCCGATTTGAATTTGAATTTACAACGTCATCTCAGTTACGGTGCCAATGGCGACAGTGTTAATATGAGTCAGTCGTATTCGGAATTAAATTTACCTCTCGAAGTTATGCTTAATTCGTCCTACTCTAATTTATCAACCTAACTCCCGAACTAGCAAAATAAGCTGTGATGTGGGAATACAAACGAATACTTATGGAATAGGAAACATTTCAGATAATGATGATGACGGAGATAATTGGAATTATGATAAAGAAGGAAAAATTCATATAAAATCCGAAAAGGAGAAAAATAACAAAAGGCAAACATTGCCTAAAGAAATCATTCATTCTTAGTGAATCGGAAAAGTTATAAATGTTACTACTTCTTTCCAAATGAGCGGATGATTCGTTTGTGTTTATATACCTAAACAAAGCCATAATTTTCTACTTATAATTTCTTTTTTTATTCGATTCGAAGAAAGTACACAAATAAGAATACTCATAGAATTAACCATATATATATATATTATATACCATATATATCTGCTTTTATATATATATATATATTATATATATATATAATATATACATACATAATAATATATATATAAAATATACATATATATATATAAAATATATAAAATATATATATATTATTATATATATTTATATATATTTATAGATATATAAAATATATAAAATATAGATATATATATATATATATATATATATATATTTTAAAATATAAATAAAAAAATTTTAAAATTTTTTAAATATTTTTTAAACATTTTTACGTTTATATCGTAACCATTAATGTTCTAATGTGCTCGATGTTCAATATGTGTCAATTTTGATATCTTGTACACTTATAGCCAAAAGATTGTTTTGTTTACAATTGTACATACATTTGAATCGCATTAATATTATTGTATTATTCGCGTTAAATTTGGTATCAAAACCGAAGGTCAAAGAACGCACACTTACTTTAAATTCATATTTTACTTAATAATTATTATGTGCCTTAACTAAGAATTCTACTTAAACATGCAATTGTTTGTTTTTTGTTCACAATGTATTCAGAGACAAAGGATTTAAGAAAACCGAAATCATGCTTTAAAAGTATTCCAGAGCTAATAAGGAAAGCCTAGACCAAATTCTCCAATACTGCTAACTACTTTCAATATTTATTATTGTTATCAACCACGAGACCTACGTTTTACATCCTTTGGTAGAAAAGTTTATGCATTAGCCTTGAGACTGTTTGCCTCTTTTATGATTTTGTCTTGGTTTAGTTACCCAACGCCCAACCAAACAGTTCCTACAACCTTGACGCGATAAGTTTATGTTTTGATTATTGCAAGGGCACTTTTGATGACATAACGTGTCCAAGCAAAACCATCAGTCATCCAGTAAGTTCAACATTTCTGAATTTTTGCAACAGTGAGATTTGTAACATACACATGGCTTGCATTTTATTCACTGGATTTGTTCACAGTTGTAATGTTAAAGAAACCAACTTTTACTACATACCACAGGGAGACCCATCTAAGATTCATAGTTCCCGTGGAAGTCTCTATTAGGTTGACTCCTAAGTAACTTACGTTCGCTTATCAGACTTATTGATGCATGTTTCTTCAGCTGCCGCTTTAGTCGTTGCATGATAACTATAGGATGGCCTAAGGTTTTTCATGGTGGTAAAAATTTATAACTTTTAAAAATTTTAAGAACTTTTAAATAAGTACTAATTTTATTTCATTAAAAATGTTTATTTTAAATTTAAAATTTTTTTTATTATAATCAAAATAAAATTGTAAATAAATAATATATTGTAAGGAAGCGTTTTGCTTCCTTACGAAATACAAGCCCGTCCGCCTAAGATACCTATTCCCCGCGAACAACCCGTCAGTCCGGTCGGTCCGTAAACGTCTGTCTGGGGTAATAGAGCGTGTACAACCTCCTCCAGCATAGGTTAAGAACCCAAGTGTACAATAACTTAGATTCAAAATCTCAAAATGTCTAATAACAGAGTCAAGAACTCAAATGAAAGTAAAAAAAAAAAAACTTATATTCAAGAAAGTAACATGTATACAAGCATAGGTTAAGAACCCAAGTGTACAAAAGCTTAGATTCAAAATCCCAAAATGTTTAATAGCAGAGTCAAGAACTCAAATAAGAAAAAGAAAAGCTTACATTCAAGAAATCAATACCCAAATGTATGAAAGCTGAGACTCAAAATCTCAAATGATGAATAGCAGGATTAAGAACCCAAACGTATGAAAGACTAAGTAAAAACTCAAAAGTATAAGCTCAAGGAAGAACTCAAAATGTTTAATAACAGAATTAAAAACTCAAATGTATAAAACTATAAGAAAAAAAAAACTCAAAAATGTCCAAAAGCATAAGAAAAAAAACCCACAATGTACAAAAAAAAAAGCAAGAGCTAAGAACTCAAATGTAGAAAGCTTAGGTTTAAAAACCCAATATGCATTAAAACATAAGTATAAGAGCACAACCCGACGCATACAATTAAGTAAAATCGAATCGGCATGAACGCAGTAGGATACACACACAGAAATTACAGCAGCATTGCACAAAGCTGATAGCACCGTTAGGGCAAACAAAACATACAGAACTGACCTTAGGTAGAAAATCTATACAGGCAAAGCGAGCAAACTTCAGCAAAAATCTCTATGTTGTGAAATGCGCAGAATGTATAGCACCGTTAGGGTATACGTACTTAGGTAAAAAAAAAGAAGAGAAATAATAGGAACATACGAAAGTGCATAAACTGCATACATGGTACAAAGGCACGATCGCACATGCCAGGCATGTAGAAACACACATAGCAAAGCATAGGCAAACACAAAGGCATAGAAAGGCTCAAGCACTCACATACCTAACGGTGGTTGAATCAAGCGGTTTGGTACCTGGGTGCCTGTGGCGTAGAAATTTGAACAAACATAGTAATAAGCTAGACGTAAGTTGGTATTAAGTAGGTATAAGCAGGATCATGCAAGTCGTAACTAAGGTTGCGACTGCAGCCAACTTAAGCTAAGCATACACATAAGCATAGTACCTCAAGGCATAAGTAAACACATAGAACATGTTGGCAATAGGACAAGCGAGCCAGATTTCAACTATAAAAGGGCTGCACATCGCACAGATTCTTTCATTTCGGTGTCATAGCCGTCTGAAGGTAAGTGGGTACGGACAATGTGACAAGTCTATTCTTTTTTTTTTTGACTTTACGGATAGGGATGTACTGGCTAGTTGTTAGTCGTCATCCCTGAAGGACTTTTAGGACAAATGACTCTACGGATAGGGGATGTACTGGCTAGTTGTTAGTCGTCACCCCTGAAGGACTTTTAGGACAAATGACTCTACGGATAGGGGATGTACTGGCTAGTTGTTAGTCGTCACCCCTGAAGGACTTTTAGGACAAATGACTCTACGGATAGGGGATGTACTGGCTAGTTGTTAGTCGTCATCCGTGAAGGACAATGCAGAGCAACTGACATTACGGATAGGGGATGTACTGGCTAGTTGTTAGTCGTCATCCCCGAAGAACGGAGAAACATTTTGTCTTTGTATTAACCGACGATTAGCGAAACGGAGACAAACCAGCGGCAGCTATGACACTGGCAACGTATCCGGTTCTTTTCTTTTAGCGTCCCGCGATATTAAAAGCGAAACGAAAAGGAAGAGAAAGTTCTAAGAAAAACGGTAGTAGCGCGACAAAGTTGGGTCACCTCGCTGGTTCCTTTCCTTGCCTTAGCCAGCTTCTACACATCGCTGTACTTCTCTCCAGTAAAAAGGAAATAATAAGTTAAGGAATTTGTACACCATTTCCCTCGAAGGCTCGGATTATTTTTATTCTAAATTTTCTTGCAAC